GAATTCTGGGAGTTGAAGTCCACACATCTTAAAGTCACTAATGTTGAGAAACACTGATCTACAGTGTATGCATAAATTGCAACCTGCAACTTGCTCCTTTTTTTAAAATTTATTTTGGGGCAATACCTGTGCCCCCCCACCTTTTTCCCCCTCCCCACCTTATACAGGAACAAATAATTACAACAGCCCCCTTGTAACTGCCATTCGGTTTTAGACCTCCCATCTCCTTCAGAAGCAAGAAGGAGAAAGCTCTTTGGGGTTAGATCACGCGAGATAGAAAAAGCAGAGAGAGAAGCTGTTCGCGGCACGGCCAGACACACAATCGCTTGCTGAGTGTTATGGATCACGTGGCTGGTAAAGGCGGAAGAACGCGGCTGCTTTGAAAAGCAGAGAAAAAAACGAGGCGGTGGAGGGGGTGGCTCCAGGGGTCAGCGGGCCTACCGGGCGCGATGCGTGTTGAATCCGGGATCCGGCTCACCGTTTGGATCTGCGGTGGGGAACCTTCGAAGTGGAAGATGGAAAAAAGCAGGACTAAGGGGTTGGCTAGGATGTCGATTCTGGAGTCGGGGATGTCACTGTATCCCACTGCTTGTGTGGAAGCCAACCAGGATCAGACCAAGGATCCCTTCAGTCTACCCACCCGCACCTTACAGAGGAGCCAGAGAAATCCATGTGCAGGACGTGAACGCATTAAGACTTTTGCAGTCATGTTCCTCATGAACTGGGCGCTGAGTGGCAAATTGCACAGCAAATCCCAATTCTGGAATGAATATGACTACTCCACGGTACAGTAGTGTTTATTCAACATGCTTCCCCGTGGTTTACTGTTTTCACTCCAATTTCAGGAGGGGGGGTGGTTGTACAACTCACCAGACTATAAACTAATCACATGATGCGCACACACACACACACAGAGTGATTAGACTTTTTGGTTGTGTTCACACAATACCTTTAATCAGGTCAGTTAAAGACCGAGTGCTTACATTCACACATGCATACTGATTTTGATTGTTAGTCTTGGCTAGCTTGTTTTGTATCTTAACGTGCTACACAAACCAAGACGGTTTAATTAGATGATGGGTCAAGATACTGTGCAAACCAAGGATGTAGATGAATTCAGTAATCGGGTCAAGTATGTTGTGTGAACACATTTTGTGTCATAGAAACGCAGCCTGTAACTAACAGCCACCTTGGCGGATTCTCTTTCAAAAACCATCTAAATTCTACTTCTTGACTATGTGCTGTGTGGAAAAAGTACTTCTTTATGTCTCTTCTGAAGAGCACCAATTACATTTCTTTAGACAGCTCCCGGATTTAGTATGATTTATTGCACCTTCCCCTTTCCCAGTACCCAGACTTACACAATGATTACGTTCACACAAGCTGCCTAACCCCACTGTAGTCCAGTCTACCAACTGGCGTGAACCCCGATGCAGATTTAGCTCACAGAACATGCTAAGCCCTGATCTGGTTCATTGAACAAGTGATAATTGGCTGGGTTTGCAGAACAAAGTCCTGGAATGTGGCTTGCAAACCACGGTAGTCAGCTTGGCACAATACACTAAACCAAACCTAAACAAAGCACAGGATGATTTAACCCAAGGTGTAGGAGTAAAATTCCTGCCTTTGGAATCTGCGTGGGCACGCTCAGTATCTCTTCTAAAAAGATGCTATACCTTTGGGAGTGGTGTTTACCGGGCCGCTGCCCCAGCTATTTCGCCGGATTTCATCATACGCAGACTCTGTATCAAACAAAGAGCAAGGATGACATATCAGGCAGAAGAACCATTTAGATCAGCGTTTCTCAAACTTGGCAACTTGAAGATGGGTGGACTTCAACCCCCAGAATTCCCCAGCTAGCATTTAAAAAAAAAAAGGAACATGTTGCAGGTCGCAATTTATGCATATACTGTAGATCAGTGTTTCTCAACCTTTGACTTGACTTCAACTTTACGATATGTGGACTTCAACTTCCAGAATTCACCAGCCATTATGGCTGGCTGGGGAATTCTGGGAGTTGGAGTCCATACATCTTAAAGCTGCCAAGGTTGAGGAAGACTAACATGGCTCTCCTCCTACAATCTCGCTGGAACTAATCATCCTCAGCAGCTGACCTCAACTAAGAAAATTAAAAATCTTAGAAAATCTGTTTTTTCCCAATGCACCTCCAAAAAGCCTTGTGTGGCAAGGCACCCGAATCCTTACTTTTTCTGGCTCAGTTTTCATTTCAGCAGCTGAGAAACTCGAGTGTGAAGCATGCTGGCTGGGGAATTCCACACACTTTCAAGTTGCTAAGTTTGAGAAATGCTGATTAGATGGAGAAGAGGGGTACAACAAATTCAAAGGCCTGATGGAGGAAAACAGCGAGGCACCGTGGCTTTTTTTATGAGCATTGACTACGGCTAGCTTTGTTACGTTGTATCATAAATAAAGAAATCCAGTACGGGACTAGAAATTGACCAATTAAAAGAAATAAGAATGCTGCTGGGTGCTCAAAGGAAGCATTTGTTTGCTGGTTGACTCAATGTATGTTCAGTTAGAGACAGAAGCTGCAAGAAATAGCTTCTAATTAAAGGTGCTCTGAACAGCCTTAACGTGATGTTCCAATTCAATTTTAAGCCGTTAAAAAAAAAAAGATCTGAAAAAAAAGATGGCATTGAGCCCAATTAAGTCATGGGTTGGCTATAACATCCTGCATTCACTATAGATAAAATGAGTGAAAAATTCCAAGGTCAATTGTTACTAAGAAGGCAACCAATTGTTACTAACCCAGCCCCACTTCCTCTTCTGTCCTCACTGTTCTGCCCTTTGAAATGGGCCTATAGGTTTCCATTATGAACTCACCAGATTTGACTTGGGCCCTTGGTGGAGGTGGAGGGGCCTGCTGGGTAATAACTGGTGCAGATGGATAAGTAAAAGTGGGACTGCCTGGCAGGAGAGGGAAGGAAAAACAAGAAGGAAAGATGAGAAAGGAAAATGATCGGTTCTCTGAAAATTCAAGTTCCATTTTGTTTGAATGTCCCCCCCCCTTTTTTTTAAATTACAAAACCTGCTTGCAGAAAGTTACACTAATAGAAGCAAATATGTGTAGCTCAGGGCTGAACTGTGGAGTCCTTGGGGTTCTCTGAGCTTGGTTGTTTTCTTGCAAACGTTTCGTTACCCAGCTAGGTACACATCTTCAGTGCTAGAATAGGATGGGGTTGAGAGCAAACCCCCCTCCCTTCTAGCACTGAAGATGGTACCTAGCTGGGTAACGAAACGTTTGCAAGAAAACAACCAAGCTCAGAGAACCCCAAGGACTCCACAGAAAGTTACACTGGCAGGGTAAGTGACTGAACCTGAGGTGCTAGCATTCTGCAGGCGAGGAGGTTTTAAAAAAGTAATGATCAACAGAATGAAGGAGGGCTAATGGTGTTTGGCTTGCAGAGGTCGACAGTTCTGTGATGGAATTCTCCAAATCATGGGATTCAGCAGAGGCAACTTCCCTTTGTAAAGAAACTCGGCACCCCATCCCCGGTCCCCAAGAACTGAGTTTTCCCACCCTGAGCTTGTCCGTGGCCTTACTCTGGCGCAGGTAGGTGAGGTGAGACAGCAAGATTTCGGTGTTGTAGGGCGAAGTGAGGCGTAAGAACCCTTCCTTCCCAAGTTTGCAGAGCTCTTTTCCGTCTATGTGCTGAAAGAGACTCGTGTCGATGTCGAGAAGGCCGTATTCCTTCACCGCCCAGTCCAGCCACTGACGGACGTGGTCGTGGCTCCAAACGCCCGGGGCTGTGGGTGGGGGGGAAGAGATTGGGGTAAGGAGCACGGCGTTCCATGGCCAAGGGACCAAAAGCAGGTTTTGGTAGCTGCTAAGTTGGGGTGCAACAGGGAAAGGTGTCAGATCATTGGTGTAATGAGGGGCAACCTTTACATGGTGGGGGATCTGCCCTCTACCAACCTGCTGGAACAATGACCTTCTCCTCCCTGGACGAAGAAACGGGGGGACTACGCTGGTTGGTGTATCCAGCTGTATAGGACACCTGGGACGTGTCGACCGCCACTTCCACTTTGCTCCTGCGGGTGGCACTGCAGTCCACCGGTGATTGTCTGCTGGGGGAGAGACAATTACATATTGGAGAAGGGGGTGGCAGGTCCTCACTCAGGGTGGGCGACACGGACTTCTATGGAGTTTCCTCCAAAGCTCCATAGACGTCATGATTCTAAGGAGGGACTCCCTTGTAAAATTCCCGTTTTTATCCTGTAGAGCAGTGTTTCTCAACCTTGGCAACTTTAAGGTGTGAGGACGTCTACTCCCAGAATTCTGAAAGTTGAAGCCCACGCATCTTAAAGTTGCCAAGGTTGAGAAACACTGCTGTAGAGTTCCTCTCCAAAGGCCCACCAATATATATTATGAGGGTCTGCACTCCAGACATTCTCTCCACCCCAACCCCACATAGAGGTATGCTTTGCTTTGGGAGTTGTCTGCAGGGTGGCTGCGTGCTAATAGTGGGTGTAGCCTAAGGAATAGGTGGGGCATTCAGTCTCTATCTCTGACACTTCCTCCTTGTCTTCTCCATTCTTTCCATTCCCACTGGGACTGATTGCTCCAGTCAGAGATCTGCGTTCGTAGCTTGCAGAGGGATTCTGAAGTTTGCTTGAGGTCGCACACTGCTGCTCTGAGGGCCAGCAAAGCTTGCTGCTGGTAGGATAAACCCTGATGACTGCTTTTCATTCTTCTTGGTTGCATTGTGAATTGATTTGTGAATACAGGTAGTCCTTGTTTAGTGATTGACTCGTTTAGCGACCATTCACAGTTACGACGGTGATGGAAAAGTAACTTTGCGACCAGTCCTCGCATTTACGACCTTCGCAGGTCTGTAAAGCAAAGGAAACCTGAAGTAAGATTGTTAGCAGAGTTGCAATTTCACTTAGTGACTGCTTCACTTAATGACTGAGTTGCTGGTCCCAGTTGTGGTCGCTAAACAAGGACTACCTGTAATAACAATAACAATGAGTAGTTTATTACTTTGGAAACTGGCTTGAACAGCAGAATAGGTATGTTCTATGAAATATTCTAGAAATAAAAATGCATCCATAAATACATTCTTTTCCCTAGCCCCAGTCTTGCAAGCTGGAGGCCTTGTTCATGCACTTGTCACTAGCTAAGGATAAAATCGCAAACAAAATTGAGCACTAGCTATCTTCCTCTTCCTGTCTTTACCTTTGAGGAATCTTGGCTTGCAACTCAGTTTAACTTTGCTGCCCTTTTTGCGCCCAAAACTAGATGTTGAGTCAGGGGTGTTGAATACAGGTAGAAGTCAGGATCTCGGCCCCAACCTTTAGCAGATGCAGTCAAGAACACAGTCAGCTAGACCGGCTGACAGTCCCCATCTACATCTATTGCAGTTTGTTGCAGAGTTAGGGTTAACAAGCCCAATGAATTTGGGCCCCACTTCTCAGGTTGCCAACTGACGGGCCCCGAGCTTATTCTTGTACCTTTAGCAGCAGCTTGTTCTGCAGGAAGCATCAGGCACCCTTTCCATACCTCAGAAATAAGAAGTAGAGCTTTGCTCATTTTCCCTAGGCCATGGATGCTATTTACAGCTGAGGAGCGAGACCAGGCAAAAAAAATTAAGCCTTGCAGGTAAAAGAATGTGGAAAATACATACGCAGCCCAGTCAAGCCTGCCAATCTGTTTGCCCAGAGGGCAACATCAGCTTCTTTGGGCTAGACCCTCTTGCTCAGCCCAAAAGCTGGTGGGGTGTAGTGGGGAAGGTGTTGGACTAGACACAGGGAGACGGTGAGTTTGAGTCCTCTCTTAGGCATGGAAACTGGTTAGGTGTTTTTGGGCCAATTGCTCTCAGCCCAACCCACCTCCAGAGTGGTTGTCCTGGGGAAAACGGGAGGTGGGACCGTTATGGATGCCACCTTCACAAAATAAAGGCAGGATATGCCTCTAATGAAGCAAATAAGCAAGCCCCAAATCTGGACTGCTGCTCTCCAAGGCTGCTCACCTGCTGGAGCAGTTGACCTGCTCGTTCTCCTGCTTCACCATATGGCCTCGGCTGTTGACCTGGGCCGGCCACGAGGGCTCCTCCAAGGCCATGCCTTCCTTGTTCCCATAGTCGTCCACCGAAGGCACCTCGGTCTTCAAGAGGTGTGAGGAGGCAAAGGCTGGGTCGAAGATGGACTGGTCCTCACTTACAACTGACAGCGCTTCCTGTGTAGAAGGGCGGGGGCCGGGGGAACAACAGGAAAAGACCGGAAGAGATAGTAAGAAAATCAGAGGAGAGCTGCTAAATTGGACCGAAGAGAGATCAAGCCCCGTTCCTGGCTGAAAGACCCTAAACTTAATAAAAATCAGTTCTGGCAGCCACATAGCACACCACACCCAAATAAGCCGTATTGTTGTTTAATGTGAAAACATCGCTCATCCATCACTCTTCCCACAACCGACCAAGCCACAAGCAGCCCAACCCCATTTCAGACTAGTCTAACGTACTGTGTGAACCCTGCAGGCCTTTGAATGAAGGATCTGAATTCAGGATTTAGTTTTAAATTCCTGAAGGCCTGAATGGTAGTCACAATCTTTCCATGCAGGAACTCCACACCCGGTTATTCATTTCCGGCACTGTTCACATCACTGGGAATCAAGAATTGGAGCCCGTTGCTTGCATATTACTTAGAAATCTACCGGCAGGTCCAGATTTACCTTCTACTGATCCCTACATTGAGTGGACCAAAAAGACCTCAGTTGGTACCGGCAAAGAACATCCTTGAGCAAATGCCTAAAGCTGGTTCTGCCCATCTCTGGAGCAGACCTCGGATCTAGTAGCTGCTTGCTGTCGATTTACATTCTCACACCACTGTGGAATTGCAGATACAGCACTGGGGGAAGTGTAACCGGAGAGCTGAGCCTGACCTATGTGTAGGGAACTCAGGCAATTTATTTGGGGAGTTGACCCAGGGAGCCAGATCGGAACCATCAGCTTCATTCCAAGGGGGGCGTTGTGTGACAATATTTTATTTATGTATTTACATGTCTGTTCCCCCATATTCCCACACTGCTCTGGTAGTTTTCAGTGCAAGAACAGCACAAACACACACAACAATTGATAAGATGTTAAACGAATTAAATCAAGACTCAGGCGCAGTGGTGAGAGTTACAACTCACAGGCTCCTTGGGACGATGCTGGTTTGCGGCCTTCGTAAACTCCACCAAACTGGCCACCAATCGTACCTCTGGGGGAGGCTCTCCCAAAGCAAGGGGGCTGCCCCCACCCCTTAACCTCTTAAAGGGGAGAACCGTCAGCATCCTTTTGCAGGATGAGCAAACGATGAATTTAGATCACTGCTTTTGCCATTAGAAGTATAACTGTTTCTAGCAGTGGGTAGGATCAGGGTTAGGAGTTTAAACATGACAGCCCAGTTGCCTGGACTCGCCCAAGGGGTTAAACTCTAAACTCACATTAACCAAACATATAGTATCCCATGCCCAAATTTTAGAAAATATGGTGGTTTAATGTGAGAGCCAGTTTGTACAAGCCAATGGCTGGGTCCCCCTCTGACCCAAACTGATCAACCTTGTTCTAGCTAATTTAGCATGTGTAAACACAGCCAGCCATAAAACAGCCAACGCTACTTTAGTCTGGCGTATATCACACAATCCTTCTGCAGCCTGGGAGGTGTGGTGATCACAACGGGGAGATCTTGCTTTGGATTCCAGCTGGGCGACTCTGGATCTGTCCAGATGTCTCAGCATACAGTATTCTAACTCACAGGGGTATCTGCAGGGTAAGGTCAAAAAACGACGATGGGACCATGATGGTGAGGCCGAAGCTCTGCTTATTTTTTACGCAGTGCAGATAAAAGGCAGGCAGAGCTTCAGTGGCACCATGGTGGCTACCAGCTTTGCCGCCATCTTCAATCGCACCATCAGGGCTGCCATCTTGATTTTCTGACCACACCCTGGGGAGACTCCTGCTCACGGGGCTGTTGTAAGAAGGACCGTTTTACATCATCGCCACCTCCGTGCAAGAAAACTGCACGAGTTTTGCTAGTGTCGACTACTCTCGCTCAAAACCTCTATTGTAACACACAGCTTTCAAACAGCAGGGAACAAATCCGACAGAGAACAGGCCGGCGAGATGCGCGTGAGAAAGAAACAAACATCCTTGGCAGAAGAAAGAAGACCAGAGTCACCCTAAAGCAGTGTTGTCCAAACTTGGCCACTTTAAGATGAGTGGACTTCAACTCCCA